CATCTAAAAAATAAATGTATCTAGATGTATTTTAAGTTACAGATACAGAAATACTTAGCTAACGGGAGTTTACGCTTCCGTGGTAGTAGCCCGACGAAGAATTGGGTTTGTACTTCACTACTTGTACTCAACTTTCAGTTAGTCAAGCACAAGAAGCCTACAGCCACCACCCATCATCAGGAACATTCATCATCATTATCAGGCTAACACTGCCCTGCATGCGCGACTGGTGCATGTCGCTCCATTTCTGTATAATGTAACGCTCGTACGTATCGAGTTAATCCAGCTTAGGGCAACTCCAACGCATGACACTAAATGGTTCATCCACGTTTATTTGAGGGTAAACAGACAGAAAAGACCGTCCAACGCGCGGGGCAAATGAATCGATGTTTGTTTTTGATCCGCTGTCGACTTATTCCCAGTTCAACTTTAGGCCAAGTTTGCGGCCAAACTGACATGCGCGGACGGTGCGTGGCGCCTACCCATGTCCTCCCCTGACCCGCCCGTCAGGGACACATGCGCCCCTTTTTCTATTCCCCTCCTCCCACTCCAGCCGCACCCCGCCCCTCTCGTCCGAGCCGCCGCTGATGCCATTTTTTCGGACGTGTCGCTGTCCAACATGACCCCGCGCTCGGCCCTACCTTGTCGCAGCCCCCGTTCCCTCGACGCCCCGAGCTGTCCAATCCCGGCCACCTGATTTTAGCGCACCCGGCGGTCGGATTTGGAGTGGATCCGACCGAATTTAAGCTCACCCGGCTACCGTAGGCCACGCCGTGCCATGGACTGGCCGGGCACCGGGCCGATTAGCCCCGGCAAGGCTGCCAGGCCGCATGCAGGTACTGACTACGCCTCTAGCCGCTCGGATCTACCACGTTGGTGGTTCGCTGGCAAATACACGAATGGCCGTCGCCGGGCTCGGTGCTGGCCCAAAGGCTCGTCGGCGCACTGTTGCCGCTCATAAAGTGCGACGACTGCCCACATAAGGTGTTGTGCCACATGTCTACAACTTCGGAACATCCCAGATGGGTGTTCGTCAAATGTAAAAACGACGGGGTATGCGCTAGTCTAGCTTCGGTTGTGCTGTCGGGTTGGCTAGTTTTACTTACAGTCAAATATTTATTGTGTAGGTTGGATGCAACTTTTGGTATTGAAAATAAGAATACATTGATCTATTGATAGGACGCAATTTAATAGATGTTTGTGCACTTGTTGCTAGCTAGAATAGAGGTTAGAGATAAGACTAGATGCGAATAAGCAAGGTCCACTTCTTTAGACTTGAAGAAGAAATAAGCACGCAAGATCGAGACTCCGTAGTTCAACAATGAATGCATCGAGAACGCACTAATCCAACTTGCGGAAGCAGTTACGGAAGTTGGGTATATTATAAAAGGTCTTCTTGTGGTTCTTGTTTTCTTTGGTCTTTCTATTCTAGTCAAGATTTGATGATATGCTTCAATGTATCAAAAATCAGTGATGAAAATAAAAGATATGTATTGCAAAAAAATATATGCAGATGAGATGCGGTCGAAATACGGCCGACACATCCACAAGTCCGGACGAACACGACCTCATTACCACTCCAAACAGACAAAAAATGAATAAAACGGACATCCGTTTGGATCATGCGTTGGAGTTGCCCTTAGCGCGACCTCATTGCAGCCCATCGGCCAGTACCGGGGTCACCCCTCGTGGCCTTGTCGTTGCTCGCCGCCGCTCTGGAAACAAGTGGCGGAGCGGCGCTCCTGGCTGGCCCGGGCAGGTGTGAACCAAGTGCTTTCATTTTCCAAGACAAGATCCATCGAGACCGTCGTCCGTGGTGGTTAGATCTTGACCGTTCCGGTCTCAGACAAGATTCTCCATGCACGTTGCACATTTCAAAACGAGTTACCACGTTGAAAGGCTGCCTAGAGATCGAAACAAACAATCTTTTACCAGTGACGCCTCTATCAGATCAGATCAGACAGCCTAAAAAACACGGCCGGGGTATTGCCTCTATGTTATGTTTTGAACCTCATCCTCTGCTCCGGTTGCACGCTCCATCGACTGCCTCCGGCACCGCATCGGTCGTGCTCGTGCTCCCAGCCGGCCATACCCCTGGTACGTACCTCTGTTGGAGATTAATGGGATTCACTTCTGCTCCCTTTGTCTACAGCTAGAGCTAGCTCTTTGCGTTTTGATTTCCCCCCTGCTTTGGCCTTCTGATGTTAAGTGATTCGATTCAAATGGCACTTGTGTGTAATAGCCTGTGATCCCGAGACTCGGAACTTTTTACCATCTGCTATGAAGGAAATGTCCACAAATCAAATCTACTACGGCGTACCAAAATATAAGACGTTTTTTGCAGTTTAATTATTTTGATTGATTTGATACGGAGGGAGTTCAAACTTATTTCTAAAGTTCAAACTTAATTTTCCGCTATTAAAAGTTCCAAACCTTCTTACCATCTGCAATTAGCAGGACCCCTGCAAGCTGCCTGATAGATAGTTTTGCCTCTCCTACCCGACCCCCACCCCGCGTTGTCTTCTCCACATCTGGTGAGAGGTGACGACGCAGCTCCGCCATGGCCCAGGTTACCGCGCCCTCCGCAGGAGGTGGCGCGGCGCGGCGGCGCCTCCGCGTCCGCGCCAACTCCCCCGGCCAGGGCGACCATGCGCTTCGCCGCCTCGCCAGCACCGCATCCTGCCGCCGCCGCGCGCTCGCTTCCCGCCTCCGGCCGCTCTGTAGGTACAGCTTGGAGCTTAAATCCGAACCGCGCGATCATATCGAGCTTGGAGTATTTTTTTTAGAGAAAATTAGTGGACTGTCATTAATTAATTTCAACATCAGTACACTCATGAATCATTTACAATATGGCGAAAGCAATTCACCATTCTCTGCAAGGCGCCGTAATACAACAGCCAAAAAGCAAGATGCATATTTCGTTTTTTATTACATATTATTATATTTTTTTTAAAAGGAAGATGATCCCGGCCTTTGCATCTGGATGATGCATGTAGTTATTTTATTAATTACTCCCTCCGTTTTTTTAGTCTGCATGATCAAAGTCAAACTTTGTTAATTTTGACTAAGTTTATAGAAATATATATTAAGATTCATAATATAAAATCAATATTGTTATATGCATCACGAACTTAATTTTCATACCGTATAGCTATAGTATTGTAGATGTTGGTATTTTTTTCTATAAAGTTGGTCAAATTTTACAAAGTTTGACTTTAACCAAATTTTATATGCAGACTAAAAAGAAATGGAGGGAGTATTTACAAAGGCCTCTACATCTAGTTGATGAAGGGGTGCCGATTACCAAACAAACCTCGCACCAAAGCCTAACATCTAAAGCCGAAGGCCCCAACCAAGCCACATTGCCGGGTCTGGCACACACCAGTTTGGCACACTCTCAGATACCGTCGCCGCCGTCATACGCTGATCCATCTTCAGCAGGTACTAATGCATCGACCTTGCTAGGCCTGCCGTCAACACCACCACGGCGTCAGACAATGCCACCTTTCTACGCACGTCCATCATCACACCTCCGGCGTCGAGACTCTGCTGCACCACGCCGCTGAGGCTCCACATCATCGATGCGTGACATGAATCGCCGCTCCACCGCTAAAACCGTCCACTGGTCCCTCGAGCCAATGCACACCTCCAAGAATGACGCCCCCAAGGGGGAAATGACACAAGAGCGCCGCCATCATCCGATCAACTGATCAAGGGTTTCCCCTGGAGGTAGCGGGAGGAGTTGGGAGCTTCACCTCGATGATGCCTCCATGAAGGAAACGACGCCAAGGGCGTCACCATCACCTGCTCCGGCCACCAGCCGAAGACCAGGTTTTCACCCGGATTTGTCCTAAGAAAATCCAATCGACAACTTGTGCACCATCCAGACCGCCTTCAAAGCCCCAGATTTAGCCACCCAGATCCCACGACCATCCATAACAGCACTACCACCGTGGGAGCCCTGGCACACCGGCCACTGCCTATGTGTGCTACCACTAGAGCCTGGGAGGAGGGCTACCACCCCACCTCGCCAAGCTGCAAGAGCCACCGAGAGGGAACCCGCGCGCTCGTCACCGTCTCTGATCCGAACAAATCCGAAGCCAAAACCACCAGATCGCCGGTGCAGATCCGCCTTGGACAGGGACAACACCACGCCATGCCACCGCGAGAGGTCCGAGCTTCACCTGCCACCACCTTCCAGGGCCGCCGCCCCAGGATCCAGGCCGGACGTCGCCGTTGCCACCAGTCACATCCCGCCGCCGCCGTACAGCTGAGCCGCCGGCCACCGTAGCCATGGCCGTCGTGATCGCACGGACGCGCCGATCGGCCAACACCACCTGCTCTTCCACGTCGCCATGCAGCGCCGCCGCCGCTGCCCACCACCACGCCGCCGCCCTGTGCCGTCGCCGGAGGCGATCCGCTGCGCCGCCGCGACCCAAATCCGGGAGAAGCACCCCAGCGTCATTGGGTGACCCGTCTCACCCGATCCCGACGCGGGAGGAAGAGGGCCTCCGCCACCACCGTCGGCCGCTCGGCGCTTCGCCCGGCGGCTTCCTCCAGCGGCGACGAAGGAGAGGAAGGGGATAGAGGTGGCCCGGCGGCTAGGTTTTCTTGGGTGTCTGCCCGAGCCGCCCTACGGGGGGCGACGCGGGGGCGTTCATGGGGCGTGGGGACACGGGAGCCACATATTATTATAAATAAAAATATACTTATGTTTTGTCTACTGTAAAAAAATTACTCTTGTGTTTTGACCAGAAGGTTAGCATATCATTTTATTTGCAAGGTTACTTCCTTTGATGTAAATCTTTGAACCCATCCAACCCCTGCTATTAACTTCAGTTGTTTCTATAGCATAAGCATACACAGGTGTTTTCACTTTCAACTTTCAGACAATTAAGAAGTGATAACATCGAAGTTTTTTCGAGATGCTCTCTTTTTCCTTCAGCATAGCAGACAATTGCTTAATTTGACCACACTAATTGCAGTTGCAGGGACTTGATATGGCGCCGGTGCTAGTGCTTGGTGCCATTGTACTCATGCTGAACCTTGCATCTATATCATCATTGCAGCCTCACCACGGATGCAAAACGCGTTGTGGTGACGTAGAGATCCCATATCCATTTGGCATTGGTACCGGCTGTGCTATCGAACAAGGCTTCGAGATCAGCTGCAGCAGGACTGCCGATGGGATCGAGAGGCCATTCATAAATTACTGGGAGGTTCTAAACATCTCGGCAACCCGTGGTCAATCCCGAGCTTTGGTAACCATCCCGACGTATTGCTACAATTCTAGTACAAGAGAAATGGGTGCCTACATTTGGGGTTTCGAATTAACTTGGCCCTATCGGTTTTCGCACGTGCACAACAAGTTCATAACCATTGGTTGCAACACAATTGGGTACATCTACAACACCAACGGCAGGACAAGGAATACAACAGGATGTGTTTCGGTGTGCGGGAGCCCACAAGACCTGACAAATGGCTCGTGCGTTGGTGTTGGCTGCTGCCAAAATGTCGTTCCCAAGGGCTTAATGGGCTACAATGTCTATTTCTATGATGTGGATTATGTCAATACTTCAAATAGTTGGTACTTCAACCCATGCAGCTATGCCGGCTTGGTGGAAACAGAGGCATTTTTCTTCAGCTCCGATTATGTAACAACTACAAGGTTCAATGATACCTACAAGGGACGGCAGCCGGTGGTGCTTGATTGGGTGATAGGGAATGCAACATGTGAGGTGGCCCGTAGAAACATGTCTTCCTATGCATGCCGTAGCGGAAACACCGTGTGCGTGGATTCGTCCAACGGCCTAGGTTACCTGTGCAACTGCTCCGTTGGATACCAAGGGAATCTGTATATCTCTGGTGGATGCACAGGCAAGTTCCTCCCCTTCCTCTGCTTGCATTTTTAGTTTTTTTTACAGCTGTCTCAAAAGGATTTGTGGAATGGACAGATGTGTATAATAGCATTTTTTTTCTCTCTGAAGCATGTACAAAATCAGAATAATAAAAGCAAATCAGGGGTTAGATTGTGTGGATTATGTCTCTTGAGCAATGGGGGTAGCAGATCAACTTATATAAATACTTATGTAATAGTAGATAAACATTACTGGTAACCAACAACCTATACAAATGGAAATGGAGAACAAACCATTATATACTAAAATATATTCCTGTGTTGATCAAATTGTTACATTACACTTGCCTTTCATCTTGAATACCATCTCACTTGCATCATTGATTAAAAAATACCTTTGTGCTTAACTTTTCACTTTGACTCATAGTCGATACTCATTCGAGTAGAACTGTGACCCAATTCTATAAAGAGAAGTCTAGTTCAAGTGCCACTTTATATTTATGTACTGATACTCCAATCTTCATATATGTTTGTATTACCATCGAAAGACTAAGTTGGGATCAGGTATTTTGTTTGATTTTCACTGCAGATGTTAATGAATGTGAGCAGAGTCCAAGCCCGTGCCCCGAGTCCGCAACTTGCCAAAACACAGTTGGAGGATACCATTGTTCGTGCCCTTTTGGCAGCAGTTTTGCAAAGGAAACAAATTCTTGCACCAATCGCTTTATAGGTAAACCACCAAAAGTTAGTACCTTGCTTTATTGAACTTACAATCGATGATGCACCGTCTTAGATTCTGAAAGATGATCTTTGCTATTTAATCTGGTAAATGTTTTGTGTTTTGGTGAGAGCAGCAAAGTTGTTGTTCTCTTCATTGGCTGGTACTAATGTGTAAGAGGCTTGTCACTTTTATGCTCTGTCACGGCCAAAATTCGGGTTTTGCTTTTACGTTTACTAGAAGCAGAACGTTAGTCCTTTGATTTTAAAAATGAAATGACGCAGTCACCACTATCACCAGCAACCCACAAACGAAAGAAATGTCGTTACCTACAAAAGGAAAAAAAAACTTTTATGCATCTAACTATTACATATGGATATGTTTGCAGGGGTTGTTATTGGACTAAGCTCTGGCATTGGAGCTCTATTTCTTGCGTCGATTTCAACTTTGTTGGTTCGGATGTGGAAGAGAAGCACTAAAAGTAGAGTTCGAAAGGCACACTTCAGGAAAAACAAAGGCCTTGTCTTGGAACAGTTGATCTCATCTGATGAAAGTGCCACACATAGCACTAAAATATTTTCCTTGGATGAGTTAGAAAAGGCAACAGACAATTTTGACTCCACACGCATTCTAGGCCTCGGAGGGCATGGCACTGTTTACAAGGGGATTTTATCCGATCAACGTGTTGTGGCCATAAAAAAGTCCAAAATGGCCGATCAAAGAGAGATCGATCAATTCATAAATGAGCTTGCAATTTTATCACAAATCAGTCATCGAAACGTGGTAAAACTTTTTGGATGTTGCCTTGAGTCAGAGGTGCCTTTGCTCGTGTATGAGTTCGTCTCCAACGGGACATTGTCTGAACTTCTTCATGGTGACCACCTGAGTGGTAGAAGCTTGTTAACCTGGGGCGATCGTATCAGAATTGCTAGTGAGGCGGCAAGTGCTCTTGCTTACCTCCATTCCGCTGCCGCAATACCAATCTTTCATAGAGATGTGAAATCTACCAACATACTCTTAACAGATAACTTCAGTGCAAAGGTGGCAGACTTTGGTGCCTCGAGATCCATCTCCATCGATGAAACTCGTGTGGTCACAGCAGTGCAGGGCACATTTGGGTACTTGGATCCTGAGTATTACCACACCGGCGAGCTAACCGAGAAGAGCGATGTTTACAGCTTCGGTGTGATAATAGTCGAGCTTCTCACTAGGAAGAAGCCGGTCTTCCTCAACTCCCGGTGTGAAAAGCAAAACTTATCTCATTACTTTCTTCAAATGCTACAAGATAACACTTTGATGGAGATGGTCGATGTTCAAGTTATCGAGGAAGGCAAGAATAGACAGATCGCTGAGATGGCTGCCCTTGCGAGGGTGTGCTTGAGGCACAGAGGAGAAGAGCGGCCTACCATGAAAGAAGTGGAGCTTAGGCTGCAGCTCCTGAGGGGCAAGATGATAATGGAGAAAAACCACGAGCTAGAGAGCGAGGGTGAAGCCATGCCATTGTTGCCTTCAAACTGTTCCACTTATTTCAGCGCTAGCTCCGGCCCACGGCACGGTGAGTTCTTCTCGGCTGCCAATCATTCAGCTCAGGATGTCACCAGATGCTACACTATGGAGCAGGAGCTTGTTTCCTGGACCGACATACCTCGTTGAATTTAAATGGGACTCTTTTAGTTTGTCATAGCAACATCTTTTATGTGCCACTGGATTGGTGTGCTTTGATTTACGACTTATGTTTCAATCTTCGAGTTGCAATTTATATTTGATTGGGATATATGTCAGGCTAGTGTGGGGTGTCAGAGACAATCAGTGTCAGACGTCGTAATCTGAAAGGTCTCTGTTCAGTGAAACAACTTACCCCCAAAAAATGTATGGTTTTGTGAAATTCTAGCCATTAATAGTTAATGTTTTGTGATATTTGCTCCGAATAATTCCTGGCCATCTCCTCCTGCATTTGTAGTGGTCGCCTCTGCTAGTAGTTCCTGAGCAAGTCAAGTCTGATGCATTAGTGTGCAGTTTCAGAAGACACTAGCCAACAAATAAACAGCTGCTCCTTCAATTCCCAAATTTATGTTTTGGCTTGCTGAATCCTTTCTTTTCTGTCATTTTCCAATGGAACTGGAATCCAAAAACCAGGCAATTATATATGTGCCCATCACTGCCAGAGCCATCAGAAAACTTCTCCGGCCGGCGTTTGAGCTAGCGGCGGCCGGCGTTCCAGAAAGTATATGCAAACTGTATCATTGTCGTATGATTTGCACTCGGCTCCACCTTACACGCAGCGCTCCCCTTACGCCCCGTTCAAAAGCCAACACTTCGTTTTTTGATAATGAAAATGAAAAGGAAAAAAGTAAGCAATTGGCGAAGCAAGAACCTTAATATTCAGATGAACAAGTTAATGGGAGAAAACTCACTAGATTATTTTTCTTCCTTTGTCAGCTTTCGTATGTCATGAGTTGGCTGGAGTTTTGCCCAAGTCTATGTGTGTGTTTGTGTGTTTGTGGCAAACCAAGTCTCCCATGTTGAACATTTCAAAAGGAGCCACCATGTCGAAAATGTTGTCAGTCACACTCACACCTCTATCAGACAAAAACCAATGTCCCTTCCCATTCTTCCTGACACCAGATTCCATTCATTCCTTTTGGTCCCTGCTTCAGTTGGAGGTCTCCGGCACGGCACGGCACCTCGATCACATCGATCGTGCTTCCTTCACTCCGTTTGGCCGGCGGCCATTTTTACCCCAGGTAATTAATTCAGTTTGAGATGACTGGATTTCCGGAGTTCACTTCTGCTCCTACTACTCACGCTCCTCGTGCTGCTCCAAGTAGCTAGCTCTGTGGTTTCTGTGGCCATCGCTCTGCTTTAGCTTGGTAAAGTTCATGTCAAACCAGCTTGGTTTTGTGTAGCATATCTTTGAAGAGTGTCAACAGAACAAATTGTAGTACACGCATACTAGTATGATCTAGTAGTAATAAATATATACTAATGTTTCTCTAGAATTAAGCTGTAATGTGCAAAGTCTCATGTAGTAGCAGCAGCAGTATTTCCTTCTGTTTCCTTTTTTTTTGAAAGATTCTGTTTCCTATTCTTTTGAGTGAGATGTCACTGGACCTCTTGCCTTCTTCACTTCCCCTCTTCTCCTCTTCTGCACCACCGGCGAGATCAGTTAGCCTCCCTCCCAGCAGTCCGGCACACTGCCACATGGGACCCTCGGTTCCCCAGCGCGTTTCCGCCTCATCGACGCCGCATCCTGCAGCGGCACTCCAACTTGCGCCATCCATGCCCGCACTCGCTCGCTTCCCTGCCTCCCAACGCTCTGTAGATATAGCTCACATCCAAATTGAGCAATTAAAATTGACCAATGTTTTCTTATAAGTGTCCAATTTAGTTTATCTAATCCAAAAGCAAGAAACATTCTTGAATTTGCAAATATGAAGAAAACGATGAATATACTCCCTCTAGTACACGTGTCTAATATCAAGCATACGAAATATCTGACCAAGATTTTTGAGAAGCTTTTCCCTTGCAAGATTACAATCCTGTTACTATTTTCAGTTTTTTTTCTAGAATGTATGTCTAACAAAAAAAAGTTATAGGAATTTCCAATTACAACTTTTATGGCAGCTAACAAGTGACTGTTTTCTTTTCAGAGAAATAATATGGCGTCAGTGCTACTGCTCGGTGCCGTTGCGGTCATGCTGCACCTAGCGTCTATATCAGCAGCACAACCTGACCACGGATGCAAAACACATTGCGGCAATGTCGAGATCCCCTATCCATTCGGCATCGGCATTGGCTGTGCCATGGACCAAGGCTTTGAGCTCAACTGCAGCAGGTCCGTCGATGGAAATGACAAGCCATTCCTTCTGCGACGGGAGATTGTAAGCATATCGCTGTCCCGTGGTCAATCCCGAGCTTTATCGCGCATCCCATCATATTGCTACAATCCTAGTACAGGAACAATGGATAGCAAAATTTGGGAATTTGAATTAAGTTGGCCTTATCGATTCTCAAACGTGGACAACAACTTTGTTACCATTGGTTGCAACACAATTGGATACATCTACAAGACCAACGGCATGACAAGGGATGCAACAGGATGTGTATCGGTATGTGGGAGCCCAGCAGACCTCACAAATGGCTCGTGCGTTGGTGTTGGCTGCTGCCAAAATGTTGTTCCCAAGGGTTTAATGGGCTACAACGTCTATTTCTACGATGTGGATTATGTCAATAAAACAAGAGAAACAAATAGTTGGTACTTCAACCCGTGCAGCTATGCCGGCTTGGTGGAAACTGAGGCGTTTATCTTCAGTTCCGATTATGTAACAACCACAAGGTTCAATGATACCTACAACGGCCGCCAGCCGGTGGTGCTTGACTGGGTGATTGGAAATGCAACATGTGAGGCGGCACGCACAAACATGTCTTCCTATGCGTGCCGTGGCGGAAACACCGTGTGTGTGGATTCGTCCAATGGCCCGGGGTATCGTTGCAACTGCTCCATCGGATACCAAGGGAATCCTTACCTCTCTGGCGGATGCACAGGCAAGTTCCTCTCCTTGCTCCGTATGCATCTTTAGTTCGTAGATTTCTTTTAGAGCAATCTAGAAAAATGATTTCTTCAATGGACAGGTGCCTGTAATAATATTTTTCCTTCCCAAGTATGCAAAAAATTTAAATAGAGAGGTAAATCCGGGGCTAGACTATGTGGATTTGTCTCTTTGTTGATGGGGGTTGCCAATCAACTTCTATAAACAGTTTTGTAATAGTACTAGATCTGTAGATGGATATGTAAATGGAAAATATAGAACCAACTGCCTAAAGAAGGAAAAAGTACAAGAAACAACTATACTAACAATCTATGGCCCTCATCTAATATTGATCAATTTGTTATATGGAGTATTAGACTTACCTTGCTCAACCTATCACTTTGACTAGATGTAGTAGTATTCATTCTACTAGAATTGCAGCCCAGTTAACTGAAAAAGAAGAATTCTAGATAAGTGTCATTTTATTGTAATCTAATGATAATCCAATGTTTGTATCTGTTTATTATATTATCTTCGAAATACTCACGTGGGACAGGTATTTTGTTTGATTTTCACTGTAGATGTCAATGAATGCCAGCGCAGTCCAAGCCCCTGCCCTGAGTCTGCATCTTGCGAAAACACAGCTGGAGGTTACCAATGTTCATGTCCTTTCGGCAGCAATTTTTCAAATGAAACAAACACTTGCACCAACCGGTTTATAGGTAAACCACCAGAAGTTATCACTTTGCTCTATTCATCTTACAAGTTACAACCAATGATGCACCGTTTTAGATTCTGAAAAATGATCTCTGTCGTGTAATCTGGTAAATATTTTGTGTTTTAGTCAGAGCAGCAGAGTTGTCACTGTTATACTCTGTTGTGTAATCTGGTAAATATTTTGTGTTTTGGTGGGAGCAGCAGAGTTGTCACTGTTATGCTCTGTCACGGACGGAATTTCTTTTTTGCTTTAACTTAGACTGGGACAAGAGTGTTTGTCCTTTGATTCTAAAAAACAAAACAATGCAATTGCAACTATCACTGGCAACAAACAAACAAAAGATAAGTAGTTACATAGAAAAAGGGAAACTTGTATGCCTCTAACTATTATGTATGCATACTTTTGTAGGAGTTGTTATTGGACTAAGCTCTGGTATTGGAGTTCTGTTTCTTGCGTCAATTTCAGTTTTGTTGGTTCAAAAGTGGAAGAGAAGTACTAAAAAGCGAGTTCGGAAAGCACACTTCAGGAAAAATAACGGCCTTCTCTTGGAGCAATTGAACTCATCCGATGAAAGTGCCACACATAGCAGCAAAATATTTTCCTTGGATGAGTTGGAAAAGGCAACGGATAATTTTGACTCCACACGCATTCTAGGCCTCGGAGCGCATGGTACCGTTTACAAGGGAATTTTATCAGATCAGCGTGTAGTGGCCATAAAGAAATCCAAAATGGTCGATCAAATAGAGATTGATCAATTCGTGAACGAGCTTGCCATTCTGTCGCAAATCCATCATCGAAACGTGGTAAAACTATATGGATGCTGCCTTGAGTCGGAGGTGCCTTTGCTTGTGTACGAGTTCATCTCCAGCGGCACGCTCTCTGAGCTTCTTCATGGTGATCAGCTGAGTGCTAGAAGCTTATTAACCTGGCACGATCGTATTAGGATTGCTAGCGAGGCGGCAAGCGCTCTTGCTTACCTCCATTCCGCTGCTGCAACACCAATCTTTCACAGGGATGTAAAATCTGACAATATACTCTTGACGGATAACTTCACCGCAAAGGTTGCAGATTTTGGTGCTTCACGATCCATTTCCATCGACGAAACTTGTGTGGTCACGGCGGTGCAGGGTACATTTGGATACTTGGATCCTGAATATTACCATACATGCCAGCTAACTGAGAAGAGCGATGTTTACAGTTTTGGTGTGATAATCGCCGAGCTCCTAACTAGGAAGCAGCCAATCTTCCTCAATTCCAGGGGTGAAAAGCAGAACTTGTGCTACCACTTCGTTCGAAGGCTACAAGATAACACTATGATGGAGATCGTCGATGTTCAAATTCTCGAGGAAGGTAATGATAGACAGATCAGTGAGGTGGCCGCCCTTGCGAGGGCATGCTTGAAGCACAAAGGTGAGGAGAGGCCTACCATGAAAGAAGTGGAGCATAGGCTGCAGCTCCTGAGAGGCAAGATGTCAATGAAGAAAAACCATGAGTTGGAGGTGGACAATGAAGCGGGGCCATTGTAACCTTCGAAATATAGGCACAAGTTCTTCCCTACCTAGCCACCAGATGCTTGTTTTTTTGGACTGACGTACCTAGCTATATAACGGAATTCATATCAGACTTTTTTAGAACTATTTTTAGTACTAGCACAAATGCCCGTGCATTGCAACGGGATAAAAATATCAGTTCTTATGAACACGATTTGCTTGGTCAACGAACTATGTCAAGGGACAACAAACGCTGATTACCAAAACATATGCATAATTGGAGGACCACAATGTAGAGCCTAGGACATGGGGTATGATTTGGAGTAATTGAACTGATTGACAATGTTTTTCTTGGAAAAACTTTTGATCTATTTATCAAATGTCATGTTAATATAAAGAACATCAGAAATATTAAAAATTACATCTATGTCATGTGTTACAACATGCTAAAAAATTCATCACTCCGATACTCCTAATCCAATTATTATTTTTCTCAAAAAAAAAGTATAGTCAAATGTCCCTAAGATGGGGAAGAATTGTTCTTTCAAGCCGACCATCTTTACAAAACGTCTAACAAAATTGTGTATTTTTGTGTGGGGGGATATATGCAGTGTTCAACTTGCGGCCCATGCTTCGCTAATGAGTAAACATGATAATGCTTTTGCAAAAAAGAAATACCAGCAAATTGGCTTACAGGAGAGAGAGAGAGAGAGAGAGAGAGAGAGAGAGAGAGAGAGAGAGAGAGAGAGAGAGAGAGAGAGAGAGAATTGATAAAATTGCAATATTGATGGCATGCGTTTGTATCTTCTTGCTCGATGTTGTGGTGATGCTTTATATATAAAGCGGGGAAACCCTTTTTCGTGAATGCAATATTGATTAGTGTATTTTATTGACCCACATATATGTTTAATGCACAAGTGCATGTTATAATCCCCAAGGTCCCGCGCTCTCTCAATAAGTCAATATTATGCTCAACATGCATGCATCTTCGTTATTATTCATTCACTTCCAAATTAGCTTCTCAAATCCTTTCCTTCTTTATTTCTTTGGTTGCACGTCGAAACGTCGGGTTGAAATCCTCTCTAGAGAGCCGGAAGTCAATTTTTACCCTTCACTTATTGATTTTCGAGATGACTCCTTGATACCCTGAAAAATGATAGACCTATAGAAGTTACAAGGATTGGATGTAAAAAGGCGAGGTGGTACTATTTAATACTCCCTCCGTTCCCAAATAATTGTCTTTCTAGCCATCTCAAATGGACTACAACATACGGATATATGTAGACATATTTTAGAGTGTAGGTTCACTCATTTTGCTCCGTATGTAGTCATGTGTTGAAATCTCTAGAAAGACAATTATTTAGGAATGGAGGGAGTAGATTAGACCACATTGCTTTTCAGATCAAACATTCACCTAGGCTGGTAGCACAATATTTTACATCACCGTGAGGTTGTGAGTTCAAATGTTTTTTTTTTCTTAAATGTTTTACCCAGCCCAAATGTTTTTTTTCTGCTGCTTTTTACCCCCTATGTGGGCTCCCATGTATAGACATACAAACACACAAAGGCCCGGCTAGAAGCCCAGCCGAGCGGACAAAGAAAATATCGAACGGAGCTGACTACAACGGCTGCTGCTTTTTACCCCCTATATGTGGGCTCCTATGTATTGGACATACAAAAACACAAAGGCCCGTCTAGAAGCCCACCAGAGCGACAAAGAAAATATCGAACGCAGCTGACTACGACGACGTACGAAAACTGTGTGACCTAGGAAGAAACAGACCAAACGGACGATAATTACGGGAGTAAGAAACGATCACCCTTTTAATTTTAACTAGCAAATATGCCCGTGCGTTGCAACGGAAGAACAAACTATCAAATTATGCAGGAGTGGTAGATAATGGATATTAAAATGCCAAGGTGAGATAAGGGCTTTTAAAATGTCATTTCAAAAACTATGTCTAAGTGATGTCATGATGAGATAAGAGACTTTTGAAAAGTCATTTCAAAAAACAAAAAATGTGATGGTTTGACCACGATTTGATTTCCTAAGGCGCCACAACGAATTATTTTTGGCTGAGCAAACTGCATTGATGGACCCTGCCTAAGCTAGACTGATGAATGATGTATATCATCTTGACCTAGCGTAGCGGTGGTTGTCATAACAATTACTGTTGTACCAGAATAAACATAGCTGTGTACAGAGGCAAAATAGACATTTAGTCATTTTTATATAGTTTAAAAAATCTAACCCATAGATAGTTGTGTAAATATTTTTTGGGTTCAGCATTGTACGAAACACAGAAGCCTTTTTTTACCCGATGTGAGGGACTAAATAAAATCATAAATCGACCTCTAGAGATCCCCTGTTAAAACTTCTACGCAGCCGATGTTTCGTTTTGTTCATCATTTACGGTCCTGTTTTAATTTTGGAAACATTTCAAAAAAATCATGTATATTGAATGTGTTTTGAATACTGGATTTTTCTTTAAATCATGTTTTTTTCATGAACATCTATTTGATATTGTGATTTTTTATATGATATGCGAACAATTTTTTAAAATCATGAACAATTTATGATTTCTCAATAAAACTCGCAGCTTTTTCTAATTTGGTTCTTTTGAAAATCCCGAATGAATTTAAAGAATGAAAAAAGTAAAAAGCAAAAAACGAAATAGAAAACAGGGCGCCACAAGCCGCATATGGGCCGGCCCATTAGCGCGTGCAGGAGGAGGAAAAAGTGTAGGAACCAGGGATCGAACGCTGGTCTCCCGCGTGCTAGGCGAACGCCTTGGCCATTGGGCTAGCTGTAGTCTTGTGTTTTATTAATGTATCACAATACTATAAGAACTAAGTCGGCGGTGATTTTGAAATAAATCTGAATCGTTTTACTTATGGATGGCACGGTGGGTAATTTATGCCAACTTCGAGGGCTATTTCTATGACGGACGACCAGAAACACTATTTGCTTTATATATACTAGCAAATATGCCCGTGCGTTGCAACGAAAGACAAAAAATTATGGCTAACCAAAAGTACGACTCAATATCCTGATATATGAGCGTACTCTATTTTAACACAGTGGCTCACCATGTTGCCATTTTTTTCTCACCCTAGCTGATGATGGTCGCGATGTCCACGTGATCACAACGCATTCGACGTGGTAAATCCCAAGGCTATGAGTTTGTCAGTGCATGCCACACTTGTCATTATGTTGCGCAAGGGAATGTTTAAAATTTTAAAATCAAATCTCGTTGACCATGAACTACTCCCAACGCCAAGACATATAAAGACTTTCAAAAAACTAATTAAATCCTAGACATAAAATACTTTTGAATCAGTGAACAGTTTTCGGAATCGACAAACATTTTCTTTTGAAATTTTTTATTTTCTCAAAAGAATCATGAACATTAGTTTTGTTTACAAAAAACTAAATGCATGAACCAGTTTCGAATTCATTAATTTTTTTTGACTCAATAAACATATTTTGAGTCGATGAACTTTTTAAAAAATTGGAGAAAATTTTAAAAAACAATTTTTTTGTGAACATTTTCTAAAATGTCATGGAATTTTTTTCAGATTCCCGAATATGTTTTCAATACACAGTCATTTTTTTCAAAATGATGAACATGATTTTATTTTCCAACCATTTTTTTCAAATTGTGTTTTTTTTTATAATTTTGTGAACATTTTTGCAAAACCACCAACATTTATTGAATCTGTATTTTTTATGACTTCTCAAAGATTTTCTTTAAAGTCACAACTTTGGAATTTTAAAATCACGAATTAATTCAAAGAAGAAAGAAGAAAGAAAACAGAATGAGAAAAGAAAAGACAAAAAAGTAAAATGAAAAAAATGCGTGAGAAAAGAAAGATAAAAAAGATGTGGAAAGTGGGGATCGAACCCCGGTCTCATCGCTGGACGAGCGACCTCACGACCACTCGGCCACCCGTAGTTCCATGAGTTCTAGCTGTCGCGGCCCTATAAAACAACCAAGGCGGTGGCGATTTTTGTCCCAAAAACTAAATCGTTTTCCCGCTTACGGGTGGCATTGGTGGGTAATTTTTACCAATTTGAAAGGTAATTATAGTGACGGACGACAGAAACTCAATTTACTTTATTATTAGGTAAAGATAAAGACTAGTAAATATGCCCGTGCGTTGCAACGAGAGAAAAAACTATCAAATTATGCAGGAGTGGTAGATAATGGCTATAAAAATGCCAAGGTGAGATAAGGGCTTTTAAAATGTCATTTCAAAAACTATGTCTAAGTGATGTCATGATGAGATAAGAGACTATTGAAAAGTCATTTCAAAAAACAAAAAACGCAATGGTTTGACCATGATTTGATTTCCTAAGGCGCCACAACGAATTATTTTTGGCTGAGCAAACTGCATTGATGGACCCTGCCTAAGCTAGACTGCTAAATGATGTATATCATCTTGACCTAGCGTAGCGGTGGTTATCATAACAATTACTATGGTACCAGAATAAACATAGCTGTGTATGGAGGCAAAATAGACATTTAGTCATTTTTATATAGTTTACAAAAACTAACCCATAGAAAGTTGTGTAAATATTTTTCGGGTTCAGCATTGTACGAAACACGGAAACCTTTTTTTTACTCGATGTGAGGGACTAAATAAATCATAAATCGACCTCTAGAGATCCCCTGTTAAAACTTCTACGCAGGCGATGTTTCGTTTTGTTCATCATTTATGGGCCTGTTTTAGTTTTGGAAACATTTCAAGAAAATCATGTATATTTTTTTTCTAATTCCAGAATGTGTTTTGAATACTGGATTTTTTTAAATCATGTTTTTTTCATGAACATCTTTTTGATATTGTGATTTTTTTCTATGATATGCGAACAATTTTTTGAAATCATGCACAATTTATGATTTCTCGATAAAACTCGCAGCTTTTTAAAATTTGGTTCTTTTGAAAATCCCGAATGAATTTAAAGAATAAAAAGGTAAAAAGGAAAAACGAAATAGAAAACAGGGCGCTGGTCTCCCGCGTGCTAGGCGAACGCC